TTTTTTTCCGGTGAGGTTTGGGAAATGACACCCTTAAATTCGGCTGAATTAAAGCGTTCGTCGTTCTTTAAAAATTCGGTAACCATAAAAATATGTACACATGGTAAATTGTTTATTGACGTTTTAAGGAATCTTTCTAACCCTATTCATCAAATAATACTTAAAAAAAAACGGTTATGCCGCAAACTTCCGTGTCGTCTAGCGTGAATAACCCTGTATATATAGTATTATATTAGGGAATTTCATTTAAAAAATGACTATGTCAAATGTTTACATTTCCGTGCTTCATATTTTTATTTTAAATTTAGATTTAAAAAATTTGAGTAAAATTAAACTTTTGTGTTAGTCCCTTTCACAATTTTTTGTTTAAATAAACGATCTAGGTGGGTTTTAACTTAAGTTAACGTAAAAACCTGCTTTCATCCCTTTGGCGTTTTACAATTGATATCATTAGTGTTTTGACAGTGGTTTTATTAAAATCCATGTGTTTAAGAAAATGTGCATATAAAAACTTGAAATCTAAAAATGTCCCACAGGACCATACTCTCCCTTAGCCATTCGAACACATATTAATTATAATTTCAGTTCGATCTAATGATTTGACCACTTTAGTAAAACTTTTCAGATGTTATTCCATCAGTAAGTCAATTATATACTATTTATCGAACCAATAACCAAATTAAAAAGATTGCATTTGAAATGTGCTCATAATCTACTCTGCATATGTTAATAGGTTGATATTAATTATTTCGACCCTGCTTAAATGCACACTCAAATTTAATTCTCATTCCAAAAGAGGACTAACCACATAGTTTATAAGGGATATTGTATTAATAATGATTTAAACAAATCTGCAGCTACTACTTGAATATTATGGCACAATAACGGCAAGCAGCTGATCTTAATCATTCAAAAATGTATCATACCTCTCCTAGCTCCATTTTTTTTTGTATTCAATTTGAGTATAAATCTGGTTCTTTTAGTGGAATAGTAGATATACGATAAACTATTACAATACTCGCTTACCTAATACAGCAAATATTTCTCTATACATCATGACACACTTTCTTGACAATCACAGTGCATTGAAAATACAGGTACTTTCTGATAGCTATGATAAAATGCTGGTATACCAATTAAAATACACTATATTCGACAAATTGAACATTTTCTATTTAAAAGGACCGGTATCTGTTAAAATGTTAAACAAAAATCGCGACAATGCGCCAGACATTTTAACAGAGTTGAATCTAAGGGTGTATCGATTTGACTGCCAGGAGCAATGCGGTAGCTATTCGGGGTGTATCGCCACCGAAAACACCTTCTACGTTAACGGTGGATTATAGAAGCGATATAATAATTGGAAAGTACATTTTAAAAGGACTATCAGAAGAATTTTTTTTTTTTGGTAGACATGCATGACGATACTTAACGATAGGCTGTAGTTTCAAAGATGCTTTTCTGAAGTAAATTCAAATAGAAAAGTTCATATAAGCGTGTGGTTAAAAACTTTAATTTTCTGTTGAAAATTAAAGTAAGCACCCTGTATGTTCACAGGGTGCTGAACAATTGTCGTCATTCCTGGGGGATCTTTAGGAAGTACAGGAAAAATATGAAAATATATTAAGTTTTTGTCTAGTGTTTTGCCAATGTCCCCGTATAGAATATGTACTTCTTCGTCTTCGTGAGTTGATGTTTGTGCCTATATCTGAATTATTTTGATTCGGTAGTCTTTTGACAACTCCAAGGTTACATATGCTACGCTGTCCGAGATTCCGTTGTAGCTTTGAATGTGTTTGATCATTTTTGGATGGATTAGGAAACCTACTCCTCTTTGACTTTCGCCTTCAGGTCCACAGTAATAAAAGGTTTTTCCCGATTGAATTGTTAACAGGTTTCCTCCATGTCTTCTGGATTCACTTAGTCAATGATGATTTAATTTTGCCGAGTTCGCGTTGTAGGGCGAAGAGTTGAGTGTCCGACAGGAGTGTCTGCTCAGCATTTTGTAGCCGGGACGATCTCTCCACACTCTGTGGAAAGTTCTTATACGTCCAGAACGAAGTGCCCAGTTGTCTTATTCCGGATCATTTCCACACTAGTTCTTTCCACTATTCTGAGCATCTGGAGCTCGGTGGAGTGTTTACTTCGAAACGCGAACTGCTCTGGCGGCAGCGAGCGTGACGTCTTTGTTGGTAGCCTGCAAGAGCCTTGGTGGGTTTGGGGTGTGGGTTTTCGTGGTTGCGGGACTGAGAGCGAACGAAGAAAGAAAAAAAGTAGGGGTACGGAGCGAGAAAAGTAGTGGTTTGTGGCGGTTGGCCTAGAGAGTTAAATTTGGAAGAGTATTGTATTTGAACATATT